TATGAATTGTAGACGCTATATTTCCAAATCGTTGAGTGGTCAAACCATAAACCTTAATAATTATTTAATTACGATTTTCTGTTCGTTTATAGTTCGTACAAGCGAAGCCGAAGCGGCGTATTTGTATCAAATCATTTTGGTTTTTTTCCTCTCCGAATTCTTTTCAAAATGTCTATCGACCTCGGCAGTGCCTTTTTTTTACTGCACGTGTGCGTATTATAATTATAACTATCACCGTACAAAAACGGCGGCACGAGGATTCTTACCATTCGTTGGAATAATAATAGGTATATAATATGCGCTACACACAAAGTGGCGTATGTGCTGCAGAGCCGCGACGATACGACCGAATGACTGACAGGCGACCGTCCCACAACTGCACGCGCGACGGCCTCGACCCGGACCCGAACGACCCTCATCGTGTATATTATGTAACCGTCGTCACCACTACCACTGTCGACGGCCCGAAATTTGCGCCCCCGAGTGGCCCGCTAACCCCCTTACATTGTATACGCAATTCGGAAAACGGTTTTGTTCGTCTGATTTTTTTTTTTATTTAAAATTTTTATCACCGTTCATATAATAAATGTATAAACACATTACATTGTATTGGTGAGGGTTGATTTTTCGTGGGGGTACAAAAATTGTGGTCGTAGTGTAGGGGGAAACGGCCATTACGCGCTAACACCTGCCGCCCCCGACTTCTATGCGTATATAAAATCGTCTATAATAATAGTCGCGCGCTAGTTCAATCGTGGCAAGAGGAGAAAACCCGAAAATTGTGGTTTTATTTTGCACGCGGGATCTGGTACCTTGAATGCGATTATTGAATCCGCTATAGATACATAGAATTAATGCAGCTTATGTACAGTGCATGAACCCGCACAGCGTTTCACAATGATTTTGGGTCGCAAATAAACAGTACTTGAAACGATACATTATTATACTGTCTAATTGTACCTATACTTAATCAACATTTGAATACAGAAGATCTGTAGCCCTGTAGGGCAATTGTACCATTAAAAAATCGGTCTTATTAATTAGCGAATCGCTTAAAGGTGAATTTGGGCATGGCTTGCGATATATTTTAAAATCTATTTTGTATTATTGAGCTCCAGTTTTGTTTTAAAATAAACGTTCTATGTGGTTAGACACATATGTTCGAGTAAACTCAACATGTATGTGTAATAGGAGACCGACAACTGAGATCAACTAGGAATTATCATAGAATAATCACGAATTATTAAAAAGTACCTATATTATACATATGCTTATAGGTACGCGACGCTTCTGTATAATTTAATGTTATAATATTTTTATAGATACACACTTAATTGTGTTGTGTTATATTTCATTATACAAGTTACGCAACGTCGACGGTCGTATTGTTATAATGGTATGGTAATTATAGCTGATATCGTCTGCGGCTAGTAATAAGAAAAATAAAAAACCGACGTTGACGTTCAAATATTATCGTCCTTTATGGTATTGTGTTTATACCCTATACATATCAACAGTTTGCAGATTATTTTAACAACGGTCAAAAGATCTGTATTCACATGCAGTCACGATGACTTGATTTAGATAACTTTTATGGACATACTATTTCCACTCAATTTTTCCCCGCTGTACGAGTTTATGCAGAAGGTAACGGTATCATAAAAACTGTTTCGATATTCATAAAATCGTTGAGTCACGTATTTCAGCGTTTTACGATTCGACCTTTATGTGTCCACAACGAAACGTTACGATATGATAAGTCGATGACGATAGGAATGGTGATGATCCGTAATATACCACATGATGATTTATTTGAAATTTAATAAGATACTGTAGGAATAAAAAAAATATGTTATATAAAAACATATAATTTAAAAAAATTTCAATATACTCGATAATAATGATCATAATTTATCAGCAATACATTAAGTTTTAGTAAAATAAATTGTAATTAATTATTAGATAGAATATACCGTTTTGGTAAATTATATTTTATGATAGATGGAATAATACACACGCAGTTTTTTTGCTAAAAATTAAAAACTATAGTCACACCGAGACAATCGTCGACTAATAATTGTGTCACAGTGCGTTTTCCGTACACGTATATAAAATGTAAACAAGCTGGTAAGGGGACCGCGAAAACAGTAACGACGACGACGTTTGACTCTAAACGGCTTCTTATATTATAACCAGGAAGGGCGACTGGGTGATGATCACGCTCTTTATTTGCGTGAATGAGGGATCCCACGCGTATATATCAAAACAGCCCCTTTGCAAGTACAGTGATTATACGAGTATATTGCTATGTAATGCGGGTCCCGAGATTTATTCACTTGGCTCGCGTACCTATATGTGTACAATACTTATATAAGTATTATATGACTATGTGTAAGCAATGAGCATGAAGTTTAGCATGTTATGATTCAAATAAATTGTATATTACACTAAATAATAATATTGTGGTACGCATTTACGCTCTGAAACCGTACAGGTACATAATATTATTGTTTACATAAATATATAATATATATATATATATATTCGCATTTTGCATTATGCATGCATAAAAAATATGCATATTTATAAATTATACGTTAAGAATTTTATAGAAACTTAGATGGCACTCAAAGAAGGGTGGTTGCCGATTTTGTTCGTTTTATTATTTTTTCCAAGACAGTGCTGACGGTTTCTAAATATGTGTGTTTTTGCAGAACTGCAATGAATAATTTTCAATCATAAAACAGTATTATTAAATTGGTATATTCATTAATTTATTATATAGCTACAAAATCTAACCTAACCTAGGTAGCAATATATAAATATATCAAAAATGCGATGAGAATTGTGTATTAAATTTCAATATACAAAATATATGAATACAGTTGGTCGAATGATTGTGGTAAGGGCATACTCTATAAGTACCTAAAAAACTATATACTTGTGTTTTGCTAAATTAACTTCCTTACTTACTTTAGTAACTGTACGCCCAGAAAAAAAAATCATATTATTAATTGTCTTATTTCGTAGTGCTTTTATTATTGAAGTTGAATAGAGCTAAGAAACCGAAACAATGGAGAAATATTATGCTATCCACCTTTTTCGAAATTTTGGTTAGGTAACAAAAAATTTAACTATTTTGGCTAAGGTGAAGTTTACTGAGATCAGTTTTTACTTTTTACTGAAGAATCATTTTTTTTTCAACGTGACGGTCTATCATTAAAATTATAGAACGGGATTTTTATTTTTTTATAATTATCTATTATAATGGTATACCATTATAGTAACAAGTAGTATTCAATTTTATACATGTACATAATAATTATTATTATTTTTATTTTATATTATAATTATATAAATACCTAGCAGTTTTACAATATTAGTATTAAGTATTCCATGCACAGTATTTTTAATTTTGACCTACTCAAAATATGATATTTCAAACGTATTCCAGGAACCGTGTTATTGAATAATATTTTGATACAATCATAATATTCGTAATACAGTATTTGAGCGTAGATCGCTAATAATTATTTCAAGCACAATCGTTTCATTGTAACGGCAAATTTCAGTGCATATTATTTTCGTATAATTTGATACATGGTTATACAGATGTGGATTGATAAAAAAAAATAATTTAACAATTAAACCGTCGTTAGAGATTTTTTTTAAACGCCTATAACTAATGTGTTATACAATCCTATTGTTTGGTTCGAAGTAGGGTTGTTTTTTCAAATTATTTTCAACCGCAACAATATTTTTATCGGTGTTTAAATCGAGTTTTAACTACCCGCGCACGATCTCAGTGGTGTATTATTGACTCTAAATTAACATTATTTTATTATTCGGAATATTATTATATTTTGATTCCAGACTTATAGAATAATTTATTCGAAATTTAAACAGAATATATCCACAGTTATTTTTTCGTTTAATATCAAAATTAATATTAATAGTTTGGAATTTAATTTTTTAGGCACTGAATAATTTTTTTATCAGGCATATTAATTTGATTTTTAATTTTATGTGTCAATTATTATCTAAAAAAAACGAGTACACAACAACTTTATTACCATTAATTGTTTTATATGATTATATTTATTAATATGTTAAATGTTTATTAGATGAAAATGTTTATAATTAATTTAATATAAATTGATCAATAAATATCCGAAATTAAACTCAAATAAATGCTAATCGTGAACTATAGATTAAATTATGCTTTTAACTACGTGATAAATTGAAAGTTAATTAAATTATTGAATACTCAACATTTGACTGTCATAAAAAATTATTGTCAATAATATATTATTAGTACTTTCAGTTATGTAACATTTATAGTAATTATATTTGTCATATCACTTTAAAATTGAACCATAAAAGTGTTATCATAGAAATATTTAATTATTTTATAACGTATAAAGATTTTATTACGTACACGTGTATAAAAATAGTAAAATATATCTGTGGAATGATTTATGTGAGAAATCATAAACAGGTTCTGTCAAAAATATATTTAACCACGATTTACCCTATATATTCAAATTATATACAATCTCAAACACAGCAGGCCGTACGATTCAAAATAATATTTCAGTATTAGAGTTTTTCGAAGTATGTAAGTTTTGACAATGCGTAAAATTAAAATCGCTAAAATACCTTATAGGTAATTTATAAATATTTTAAAAATGATGTTTTCCCGTGTCTACCATGTCTTTAATTTTCACAATCGCAAATTTTAAGACAAATTAAAAAACGCACCGTACCTATAATACGTATATTATTATTTTGCCTATTCCGATTATCGTGACTTTTGCGAAATTCGATGATATACGGTACTCTATACTGTGCATTTTACGATCATAAAAATCGTATCATCATAATTTTAATTTGACTAAACATAACGCGAAATTGCAATATAATATGTTCTACTTATTAATACATATATTTAAATGACAGGTAAACCGGTGTCGGCATTAGTTGAAAGTCGGTGTACTCACTCTGTCCGAGGTGAACTCTCTTCATCCACGGGTAGATCTGCGGCGGGTTTTGGCCGGAGCCCTGTTTGCCGCCCGAAGAAGCGGGCCCGTTGCCGTTGCCGCCTCCGCCGCCGCCGTTCGACGACGTGGACGATATGGACGAGGCGGGCGACGAGGACGTCTGCGAGACGGGCCCTTGGGTGGCCGGCGAGGAACCGGCCACCGGGCCGCCGGACGACCGGACAGATTTCATGACGACGGCTGGCGGCGGTGACCGGGACCCCGGTGGAGGTGCCGCGGACGTGGTCAGGTCTTGTGGAGAGCTGATGCCGTTCGGCGTGGCCGACGCCGAGGCGGTCACTTCGTACTTGCACTGGACGACGCCGCCGCCGGCCGCGGACGGCATGCCGACGACGTTGTTGTTAAGCGCCGACGATATGGGCGATATGGCGCCACCGCCACCGGGCGACGGCAGGCCGCCGACGCCGCCACCGCCGCCGTGGTGCTGCAAGTGCTGCAGGTGGGCGCCCGCGGCCGCGGCAGCCGCGACTGCCTGCAGCCTCTGGTGCTGCTGGTGCTGCTGGTGCTGTTGCTGGTGATTGACCGAGTGCAGTTGCGTGTAGTCGATCATGGACGGCGACGACTGTTGCATGTACTGAGACGCGTACTGTTGCGGCGAGTAACAACCGGCGGCCGGGCCCGCGTTGTACACGCCGCCGCCGCCGCCCTGGGCCGCCTGCCCGTAATAGTCGGCGGCCGAGGCGGAAGCGGCACCGCCGCCACCCGGGCTGTTGCCCGTCTGCAGCGGGTCGACCGGCGATGTGACGGCCCGGCCCTGTTGCTGTTGGGCCTGCTGGCTCTGCTGGTAGCAGTTCATGAACTGATACGAACTCATGTTCATCTAAGCGGTTCGGGTCGCGCGCGCGCGCTCAGATGCACGCCTCGTTGCGACGTTTACCTTTGACGACGACCGGTCCGCGTCTGTTGTACGAAAAGCTCACCGGAGGGCCGACGAACCGTGTTATATCTATATATGCGTGTATATCGTATTTACGAGCGTATATAAAATGTGTAAATCGTACGTCGTCAGGTCTCCAACATGCCATTCGAAAACGGCGTCATAATGTCTGTGTGCCGACGGAGAAGAGAATAGGACGAAAAAAAAAAAAACACGAAATCGAACGCACTCGAAAACGAAAATTCGGTATATTAATAAGAAAAAAAATAAATAAAATAATAATAATAATAATAAAATTGTAGTAAAATTTTCGAGTACCCGCGACAATAGTGTATGTGCAGTGATATAATAAGTCGGACGACAAAAAAAAACAAAAAAAAAAAAATCACTCGCGCGTCGCGGCCGAATAACAACAAATAGTGTGATTAAATTACGATAATAATACGACAATAACAACAATATTATACCGTCGTGTACGTGTCCGTCGGACGGGGCTGGGGGCCACGTGCTAGCGTAATTTACGACTGCGGCGGCGGTCCGCGTTCGGAGGCGAGTGGAACAGTACAGCGGTCCGACTCGGAGGACCGAACACACTCCGAAACCCGACAACTTCCGACGCGGCTGGAGACGTGCGCGCGCTGTGCCGGTGTGTGCGTGTGCGTGTCGCCGCGTCTGTGTGCGCGCGTACGTGTGCGTCCGCGTGCGCGCGTGTGCGTGTCGGCGCGCGCCTGTGTGAGTGCGCGTATCCCGTATAACGTAACCGCGGCCGTCGACCAATCGGAACGCCGGACGGTCGGCGCTCGGATCTGGCAGCCCCTCGTGTGCCGCCGCCGCCTCCGTCGACTGCGGCGATGACGACGACGACGCATGAATGAACCGGTGTGCGTGGCGCCGCCGGCGGTGCGGTGGAGCGGGGCCGGGGGAACGTGACCGCCGCCTTCGGACTACCTATTTCGTCGCGGACGTCGTCGTTTCGTACGCCGCACGCAGCCGTGTCCGAGTTGTTGCCGGCGACCGACCGGTCAAGGCGCTCGCGTACGACACGGTATTAGGTTATTATTATTATTGTTGTTGTTGTTATTATTATTATTATTATTGTTACTATTATTAGTATTATTACGACGACAATAATAATTAGTGAAAAACAATAATAATGCGTTTCCTGATAAAACGTCGTCCATAACGTCCCGGCCGCGTGTTATTTCGTCAAAATAATTATTAACGGTGTTTCCGAGCACTGTAGTTCGACTTTGCAGTGGACTAGTACATAATTTTTTATTTATTTTTTATCAAATATTAAATTCTTAATTGATTTCTTTCGATTCGGATACTCGATGAAATACAGTTCATTCCATATTTATCAATGACGTGTAACTTACACGGATTAATACGGATTATAATATTATTCTGTTTTCGATACGTATATTGATTAGTTTTATTAATTTTTCAGAATAAATCTGGAATTCCTCACGTATTTCAATGGTTTTATGTTTATATAATTTATTTTTTATCTGTTACTACATTAAAAATAAAATATTTCATCAATGGCATCCATAATCTTACACGTGCAGATTATGTTTTATTCGGATCGTGACTATAAACTTTTGTTGTAATAGTTCAACGATTATGTGTTATCGAATTTTAAATTAAAATTTATCTCATCAGTTGATGTAATTTAGTATTTGATTTCATATAATACGGGTTATGTTTAATAACGAAATTATGTATGACATTTTAGCAAGTACAACTCATACGGTAAACTTAAAATATCATTATTTTTTTTTTTTAATGAGTAACAATAATAATGACAACCTAATAATAATTTACGGTTTCAATGACTTTGAATGTGTAAGACTTTTGGATATTTCGAGCTGATTAAAAGATTATTTAACAACTTGTTTGGACAATGAAAATAATATTTTATATTATGTAATAAATACTGTATCATATAAATATTTTGAAAAAAGGCTGAAATTACTTTTTCTATTCTATAACATGATAATATCTATGTGTTGAGTGAACCTACTTTGTAATTGGGTAGGTCACCTTAATGGATTAGTTTAACTTAAATTCCATGATAAATCATTGTGTATATAAAATAAACGATACACCCATCTAGGTGGATTACTGGATTAGTAAATATTTCGAAGGGTAGATTAAATTAAATAACATTTACATATTTATCAATGATTTCTTGATTTAGCATATTGAACTAATTTTTGTCAAAAACATCGCACACCACTAACTCAGTACTGACGTAAAGTCCATTAATATCGATATTTTTAAATTTTAATAGTTTTAAAATAATTTAAGTACTTAAAATATTTAATGGTGCATACAAATGATAATATATTTGCAATGGCAAAATAAGTAATGTTCTAAGTTCCTAAGGTTAATATTTTTTTAATTAAAATTTGAACTTTAAATACTTATGAATAGGGTGGAGAATTTGTAGCTTTTGTAAATTATAAAATACAATTGTAAGGATGTATATTTTATACTTTACATCATTACTGTAAAATAAACTTAAAAGAAATCTTGTATTGAATTTTTATACTATTTAAAATAAAATAAAATTAACATAAATATTTAAAAAAAAAATGAAAATGTGTATGAATAGTTAAAAAATATAGCTAATACCATAATTTAAAAAAGATATATTATGTACTTAAAAAATGTTGATATAAGTATTTGTCGAATATCTCAACATTTCAAATTTATCATAGTTTTTTTTTTTTTGAATTTTATTATAACAAAAAAATGAGTAAAATAATATTGTCAAAATTGGTAATATGTAAATGTTTCTATTTTTAGCTTTTTTTTATTAGTTTTCATAATTATTAGAAAAAGTATTATTCGTATTTTTGATTTTTTAATCGAGTTGTATACGAATAAAATCTACAAATATTCTATCAAAAAATCACACTCAATGTGTTTATTAGATTAAATAAAATTATCTTTTCCTAAATAGCTAAATGTGATAGTTAAAAATAAAAATATACTTGTAAAATTAATGCATTTTTCATAGGCATAAGAATTTGAAATAATTAATATTAAGAATCATTGTAGCTTATACATTTTAATAAGTAGCTTAATTTATTTTATACGTTGCATGTCATTATTCATAGTATGATTCATATTAGTTTTTTGATAATTTACATTGTTTGTATATTACAGCCGTTTAAATTTTTAAACGTTAAATAATTATACTGTATCAATGAATTAAGCGATTATTAATAATGAGTCAGTGTATTTACTTAATAAGGTTTGTGATGATTTAATAAATTATAAATATATATTTTTATTATCATAAAACATTCGGTGGCATTGGTTACCTATTTAGGATTTTGTAGCTCATATTTATATATAAATTGATGTACAATTATTATAATACTTTTTGGCTTATACACATTATTGCAATGATTATGTATAATTTTTACTCTTTATGAGTATTTATAGATACGTCTATAAAAGATACTTGAATTAATTTACAACTTTATGAACACATAATAAAATAAAATAAAAGAAGAAGATAATACGATCTTATTGTTACTATATAAATTTATATATGAATAAATAAGATATAAAAAATTATAAGTGGTGGCAATAACGGTTAGAGCAACAAATATCAACCCGTCGAAGATTGATTAAGAATATAATATATTATAACCCATATACCTACAATAAAATATATTATATTATAGCTACTATTAAAGTACTGATTTAATATTTTTTTGTTTCTTTATAGGTAAAAAAAAAAAAAGAAGTTATTTTCAATATTATTATCAAAATAAAATATTGCATTTGAACTCAGAACATATTCAGTTAAAGTTGCGTTCAATATGATATCGTATTGTGTATTCTTATTATCATGTGTTTTGTTTGTTGAAATAATAAAATATAATATTTTCTACCCAGCTTTATTGTTTTAGAAAAATAAAAGCATGTTCAAGATATATATTGTTATTATATTATCGTATGTATTATATTATGCATTAAAACATGACGATGATGATGGTTAGTTGTTTATCATCCGTAAATGTAGTTGGACGCCTAGGTATATATTAGTGTCCACTCAATTTATCTTATCTTATTTAAAAATACGAAAGCTTAACTTAGTAATAAGATTGAAAATACATCAAAAAATTACAAATCAAACATGACGTATTCAATGATAAACTATATTTCAACCTGAGACGCGTGATTACAGGTATCAAAAATCTGTTGTTACTAAATAATTTCTCACATGCTATAAAACATGGAAAGTTCCTATGATTTTAAATATATAATAATATAATAAAATAATAAATGATTATCGTTTTTAATGGTGATTATTATTCAACAAAATTACTATTTAAATTTAATATCGAAAGCCTATGAATCACAAGAATTTATTATTATAGTTGTTAGTTAATGTAAATTAGATTAGGTGATTCTGAGACTTTTCATTCTTTTTAATATAGCTTATATTAATTACTATTGTACATACTATATTAATAATGATTTTTATACCGTAGATGTCAATAATTAGCTTTTAAAAGAATTCAGTAGTATGTACTGATGCCTTTCAAAGTATGATTTCCTTACAGCAACTATTGAAGGGATAAAACTTCTAAGTAAAACTTAATTTCTATTTTTAAAATTATTTTATTGAAATTAAATACTTATATTTTGTATACTAATAATTAGTAAAATATGTCAACATTAGTTTTGAAACTTATTAGTATAATATTTTACTATCAATATAAAATTAGAATCATCTTTTAATATTGAATTTGGACATATGACATTATTATTTATTTATTTATTTATATATATGCGCTGTATTTAATTTAAGTAGGTTATGTCATAAATGAGCAAGATATTCAATGTACAAGTAAATCAGTACAAGATTTTAATTACAGTCCAATACTTAAACAATCTGTGAACACGTGAAAACAATTATCAGGCTATAAAATTGTTAAAAATTTAATTTCATCTGAAATTTATTATAGATATCCAAATAGCCGACTCTCCGCCCCGCAGTCTATAATAAAATCATATATTACAATATGATCAGCCTATCGGGAATCTTTTCGGTACCTTGACGGCTTTGCCATTTGGCTTCAGAGCGATTTATGATCATATAAACATTTTCTTTTTTTTTAATATAATGTTTCTATATTGTAGGATTGCAGGCTACTCATTTATTAGATCACTTAACATACATTGACCAATAACAGAGAACAATGTAAGGTACAAAAAAGTAGACATAGAGTGAAGAGATCTTTCAGTGAAGGTATCGACTTCATGATGAAATAGTTATAGTTTTTGTTCATATTTCATAGATTATAAACTAGTTATATGCATATGATATATGATATAATATTTATACAATATTATATACATTTTTTAATTTTTTTACGAAATAAAATAAAATAAATTTTTATATAATTTAACATACAGTAAGGTTTTGTACTTAAAATTGAAAAAGTCTGTTATTGAAGCATTTGTAGTATGGAGTTTAACTAGTTTAGTGCAGAACTTTAAATGTATTTAATATTTTAGTAAAATTGGCTTATTCCAAGTGATTTTTTTTTCATAATGCTT